CTCTAAACAATCAACTTAGAGCCTACCTCAAAAATTTCACTAGAAGAGGTTGTTTTGATGCCCAAATATCTTCAAATTGATCATCCCGACATCAAGATGCATATGTTTGAGAAAAAAATGGATTTCAAGTGTTGGAAATAGTGCATATTGTAACGTATTTTTGGATCGTTAATTATTAAGTTATTCAAGTTTTCATAGATATGCTTGATCTACACTATTTTTTAAGCTTTAAATTTTATAATTAAATATTAAAATATATTTTAGGGCTTGTCAAATATTTCCAGTATTATATATATATATATATATATATGAAGATACTACAAAACGCCTATAGGCGAAAATGAACAGTGATTTCACCTGCCCGCATCACCATCTAAAGTTCATTGCATGGTCACGATTATCTAATAGTGTTTAATTTTTCATTTATTTTCTACAAATCGGAATAACTTGAAATTTGGAGCGTATGTTCATAAAAACTAGACGAATCTATGAAAAATATCAAAAAAATATTTTACATGAAACAATTGATCAAAATACCCCCAAAACATTTCGGGGGTATTTTGGTCAATATTATTTTTCGAATTATTTTTTTATATATTTTTATTAAGTGCGCCTCACTAAGATGTATAATGTTCCAAATTTCAAGTCATTCTGATTTGTAAAAAAAAAAAAATGAAAAATACAACACTATCGGATAATCGTGACCGTATGGACTTTTGACGGTAATGAGAGTAAGTGAAATCACTGTTTATTTTCACTTATAGGTGCTGGGAAGACTTTTCCATATATATATAGAGATGAGATTTGGTGCAACCGTTGTATCATACTATGATGAAAACGTGAGTTGGCCAAATTTTGGCCATTGGATTCTTGAGCAATCCAATAGGTAAGATTAAGACCTATTTGTACGAATTTGAAAACCCCAAAATCTGTGTGCCGCTATCTCCTGCTCTTCTCTCCTCACTACTGCCTCTCTCACATCTTTTTCCACCTTTGTCTCTCTACCAGCACGCTTTCCTCTCACTCTCCTCCTCTCGACTTCTCCTCCTGTCCCTCTCTCGTCTATCTTTCTCTCCCCAGATCCTCTCTTTCTCTCTTCTTCCCTCTCCAAGCCTTCTCTCTCTTCTGTCCTCACTCATTTTCTTCTTCCATCTCTCTCAAGGCTCCCAAAAAAGCTCATAGCATTGGTCCCCTTAGAGAGAGAGAGGGACTTAAGGGTGTTTTCTTTTCTAATTTACAATTGTAAAAAGCAGCTCCTGTTTTTCAAGGCAATGGTGGATTTTGCTGCATTTTTGTGCGGCTGATCTTTGGTTTTTTTCTTTTTGGCCCTGGTCTTCTAATCTTCGGAAGCAGAAGGAGAGAACTCAATGTGATTTGTGATAGGTTATGATCTTGATGGAATTTAGCTCTTCTTTTTCTCTTTTTGGTAGGGTTTTGTTTTCTTCTGCTTGAATATCAGTAAAAGGTTCATGCGCTGGTTTGTATAAAGATCTCATTGTTTTTGTTTCTTTTCTTATGGTTTCTGTGGTTTTATTTAGTAATATATCATATCACGTAGAAGAAAAGCTTATTTGTGGATGGGTTGCTAATTATGGGATTTTCTCGTTCTTCTTTATGGTAATTTGTTGTTCTATCTTTTCTTGATGAGTCCTTTTATTTATTTTGATTATGTATAGATAAATCGAATGTCTGATTTTTGCTTAATTTTGGGGTTTTATGTACAAGTCTCTTAATGTCTTTTGAAATTTTTGGAGTTTCTTGTTGATTTTTTAGTAATTGTGTGCCTAACAACCAATCCTCCCAATGCTATGAATAATAAGTGGCTCCTTTTCTTGTAGTTGAGATTTTTTGACAACATATTGGTTGAATATGTGGGTTTTGTGTCCTTTGAAACTTTGAGATAATCAAGGTTTAACGTCAAAGTAAGAGCATTGAGCTCAATGTGTAATTTGTGATAACAAGATTTTAGCTGAAGCTACCAATTCGGAAAAAACCTGCATTAAGCACAAAGTAGCAATATGAGAAAATTGAGCTTGAAACTCAAATTAGAAACTGGAAAAACGAGTTTTAAGCTCAAGGTAGCAAATGAGGAAAATCATGTTTTAAGCTCAAAGTAGCAATTGGGGAACATAAATCTTTAAGCTCAATATCATGCAGATGTTTTTTCTAGGCCTGGAGGTACTCAGTGGTGTCATTGTCTTTGAGGTATTTAACACCCCCTTACTTGATCTTCCACGATGCAATCAGGCTTTGGACATAATACCCCCATGACATATCCAGTCAAGTGATCCACTATGATGGCCTTATTTGGTTGCACAGCGGAAGAGAGACTTAGAATTCATAGAATCTTACTGCTGAACTAAAAATCATTTTTTTTATTTCTTGGAATTGTTCATCCAATTTCCATAAGATCATCTTCAAAAATTGGGATAAAGAAAAGAATCCTTCTAATGACTAAATCTAATCAACCCATCAAATGAATGACATGTGTTTATTGAGCTAAACAAAGCAATTTTTATTATGCATTTTTTTTTTTTTTTTTTGAGATTCTTCTTCATAGTGAACTGCTTCTATGTTCAAAACTTAGGATTAAACAAGTGCTTCTAACATGGTTTTTGAATGTATGTTTCTTTATATTATTATAAGACAGTTGCATGAAATCACTTCCCTATATACACAAAAAAAAGAAGATCATTTGGGCTTACATTTAAGGATTAGTCCTCCAGGAAAATGCCTAATTTGATCAAATAAGTAATAAAAGTTGAGAGGATTTATCCCTGGCTATCAACCCTCTCAACTTTTATTGGCATGTTCCCCTTGTATATTTCTATTAATCGGAGTGTCCTTAGTGCTTTTGCTTTTACTGATGTTGATATTTTTGATACGCTCAACAGCAAAATTGTGTTGGTTCTGCAACTGCCGCAATGGGACCTCAGAATTTCTTGAGTCTCCTGGCTCTGAATTTACATGTTGAGGATTTATCCCTGGCTAATGTTTGGTTGATTCCAATTCTGAAACAACATATAGTTGGTGTTCGCTTAAGTTTTTTTACATCCCATATTTTGGGTTTGGTCACATCCTTGAAGCAGAGAGCTCAAGTGGTAGGCAGTTTTCTTTATGGAGTTAACCAAATTTATTTGATTTCATTTCATTTTGTGAGGTTTGGTACCATCTTATCTTTCATCATTTGCAGCTTGAGAATGAAAGTCGCATCGTTGCATCAAGGACTGCAAAAGCACTTGTGTATCGTTTATGGTCCCTGTTGCCTGCCTTTTGCAACTATCTTGCCAACACTGCTAATAGCTTTAAGGGTCTAGCAAAGTCCTTGAATGATGCACTTTATAAAGAGCCTGACCTGCATGGAATAATATGCTATGGTCTGCAGGTTTGCATGACTCCTTTTAGTATGTCTTGCTGTTGATTTGCTTTATGGTGACACATTTTGTTGTTCACATAAACTTATGTTTATTTTTGTCAATTTGTGGTGTTTATATCATCATTGAAAAGACAACTTCATGATAATTTAAATGCTTTCTGCAAGAGTTGCAAAACTGAAAACCTGGCCACTAACTATATGCATTTGTTGAGCTCAAGGTAAGGCTAATTTCACTGTTGTGGTATAAAGTTTTCCAAGCGATGTTCCAAGTTCCCCTTTTATCTTTATAATTGATATGCCAAGGCCCTTCAAAATAGAGCTTATTGTTGTTAGCTCCATTTCTATGTTAATGATTGCCTAGTATTTGACTTTAGTTCTAGGTTGTGCAATTGCTTTTGCTTTTTATTCATGAGTAAACAACATATATTGATCGAAATGCTTTTTATTCATGAGTAAACAACATATATTGATCGAAATGCTTTTTATTCATGAGTAAACAACATATATTGATCGAAAGATAAGAAATTACCTATGGGAAAGAGTGATCTGTTTGTTGAGATTTGCATGATATTAGTTGACTTGGTTGCCCTTTTTCCTTCCATTCTCTCCACATGTCGTCCCATGGTGTTTGTGGGATAATCATGTTCACTCAACTTGTAGTTTAAGTTAGGTAAAAATGCCACTATATTTGAAATGGACATCACTTTTGGTATTTGCTATACATGTTATGATAGTTGTCACTCCTGTACATATTTAGTTCATTTTTTGTCTTGATTTTCTTTCTGCACTCAAAATAGTTGGAGGCGCCAATAGTAATGAAGTCAATACATGGTCTGAAATTTGTGATGAAGACCGTAAGCCTATAGGTGGAGGCACCAAAATCCATGTGAAATTGCAATATTTCAATGTTACAAAAGATCGAAACTGGTCAAGAGAAATAAGAAGCCCTAAATTCTCTGGTCCCTACACATTCTTTCATAGAGGCAAGACCTGCAAATCTCCACGATGTTTACCCACCATCAAAAGATAGGGGTTGTTGGTTCTCTTCCAAACCAATCCATCAAGCAAGTATCTTAAGGAATTTTGTCAATATTAGAGCAAGGCTTTGTAAGGGGTTTCTAAGAAGCATGTGTTGAAAAGGAAAGAGGGCACATGCACACAAGCTTCTTTAATGGAGGATTCTAGGAAGCATGTCCTGAAAATCGACATTTGCAGCATTTGAGAGAAATGACTAAACAATTTGCCCTTTCTTTTCTTGTATTTCATCCAAGTTAGCAGTAATCAGCCTAAATTATGTTTCAGTACTTCATTGTAAAGAAGTTTCTTATGAATATATTGTCATTCGGATTATTTTGTTCTGTACAACTTGAATTTCATTCATGCAATTGTGTGGTCCCTACATGTGACTATCCAAGTTTCAATTTCACATGGCTTCCATAATGAACCACCCTCTCTCTCTAATTGTGTACTTTGTGGCTTTGATTAAAATAAAATTGCCATTTCATGAAGTGTAAATTCATTGTGTGGTCCCTACATGTGACAAACCATATTTCATTATATTGTTGGGGTTAGGTTAAATACAATTCAATATAAAAAAAATCTGATTTAGCTAATGATTTGAATAAATTAGGATATTTGTTCTATATATAAAATAGGATGATGCTTTACACAATATGAATAGAGAAAGCAAGAGAGAGAGAAGGTTGTTCTAGACATAAAACAGAATGATGCTCTACACAATATGGAGAGAGAGAGAGAGAGAGAGAGAGAGAGAGAGAGAGAGAGAGAGAGAGAGAGAGAGAGAGAGAGAGAGAGAGAGGTAGAGTAGAGTAAGTAGTAGTAGTACGTAACGTAGTACGTAGTACGTAAGTACGTAACGTACGTAACGTACGTAACGTAACGTAACGTAACGTAACGTA